GCTTGCTCACTGACTGAAATGCCAAAAAAAAAGAAAAATAAGTTTAAGAGAATAGAGAGTTTTAGCTTCCAAAGGTGAATTAGCAAACCACTTTCTTCAGCCTAGCAAGTATCCTAAGCCTAGTTCCCCACCACTGCTTGTCTTTGACAGTGCAAATCTCTTCAGTCTGTCATATAGGAGGACCCTCAGGTTTAGGAGGACAGACAGATGGTGTGGGGTGAAAACAGCTGCTCCAGCAGAAACAATGCCTTCCTGGGATAGAGATGTATGTACTGAGGAGGGCTCAAAAGCCACGATGAGGGTGCCACAGCCACAAAGACTGAACAGTAGGAAAATGACATCCTCATCTTTGGAGCCCTCCTCAAAACCATTCTGCCTAGTCCCAGCTTCATTCTCTCTACCACCCTCTGGCTTTCTCCTTTTTTAGTAATTCCTCATGTGCTTTGTAATCTGTCACCTCAAAATTTGCTTTGCTACTGCAACCACATTTTGCTATTCACAAGTGCAAGGGCAAATGAAGTTACTCTATTTTGCCTACGCTTTTGTGTCTGTTATTGCAACAGAAGGCCGTGATCTTGCCTAGGATATGCTTACAGACTTAGCATAAGTAATAAAAAATAATAATTGCAGTTGCCTTGTGATCTTAAATGGATCACCTTGACTAGAAGTCAAGGAGATTACTTACTTCATGTTAATGTTTTGAGGATCTCTGCTGAAACCTGCTGTTGTAGTTAGGTAACTTGCCAGTTCTTTTTTTTACTAGGTAACTGATAGAAATGTTTGACCCAGCACAATGTTTAGAAAAGCAGGTATGTCAAATGAATTACACCTGTTACAGCTGCTCAACCTAGTGCTTATGGTCTAGTAGTTTCAGTGCAGTGAAAATAACCACAGTCAAGGATTGTTTGGGAAGGCACTGGCAAAACTTGATGGAAAGAGTAGGACAAAATATGCACTTGCCATTTACAACAATCTGAGATACCTCTCTAGGGTAAGAAAGGTAGAATTATAGTAATGAGAGTAACAGCTGTGGCCAGAGGCTGCTGTCAGCTCCAAATCCGCTTCAGGCTATTGCAAAGGCTGGGTACAGTAAGCATCAGACTGACATCTTGGCTAGGGGCACCAGAATGTCTTAATACAGCTTTAGTTAAAATTGACACTGACCAACACATCACTTTTAATTTGACCTAGCTCATAATTGACAAGATCTATTTTGATCAAATGATGAATTTTAATTTCAGGAGCTCACAATATATTATCTTTGCTTCGGCTGGGTAAAGCTTAGCTCTGGAAGAACTTGTGTGAGAAAAGTCAACAAGCAGTTTTCAGATGAAGGACTATTCAAAAAAGTGTGTCATGTAGAGACAGAGGCTGTTTGAAGTTGTAGAGCTACCTGGTAAGGCGTGAAAATCAGTGGTATCCAACTGGCTTCCCACCACTTCCTTTTGCCTACCATAGGCAGGGCAATCTGGTTCTTTCCATGTCTTACCAGTGTGCCCTGGGCTGAGATATATCTTGTACATACTATATTGCTGCGACATTAAGAGTTTGCAGGGCTGGAACTATGTCATTTTATTTAGGTAACAGAGGCTGAATAGCTGCACTCAGTAGACTGGGTGCCACATCTGTTTTTCTTTATTTCCCTTATCCGCTTTGTTCCTGCATTTACTTGTTTTCCTTCCAGTTTAATGGTTTTATTAGGCAGCAGCATCAGAAGGTGCTTGAGCACACGCTGATAAACAAAGCAGGCAAACACAAACCTGGTTGAAAATTGCCCTTTGTATTGGCAGTACAAACAGCAGAGATCTGGATGGGTGTTAATGCCAATCCCTAATGCATCCTTAGTGCTGCTTTCAGGGTTGGGGAAATGTTGACAATGGAAAGAAATAAATTGCCATTTGTAAGGGTCATAGGTGTTACCATGGTAGCCTGCAATAGTTTTTTAATGAGTAGTATTAAAGTAATAGGCATTGATACTTAATCTGGTATTAGTCACCTGGCCTTGCTCTGCTCTCTTGAACAGCACCACAAAATGCTGCAGCAGGACTTTGGGGCAAGTTAAGCCAGAAGAGTGTGGTCAGGTGAGATGTTATGTAGTGGGTCTTATTCATGGACCTAGAGGAAGTTGAGGGTGCTGGCACTATTTTGTGCTGCAGACTATTCTATGGAAGAGAGTATTCCAAGGATGGGTTGTCCAACTCCCCCCTCCATATCAAGCCATGGAAACAAAAATGGAATGTGTTGTAGTGCTTGATGGTGTCTTGACGTAAAAAGCATTGGGACTCTGAGTGATTCAAGTGGTTTTTTATACTGTTAACTTGCATTACTCACTGGTTGGTAAAAAGAGGGCAAAAAATACCATAGAATGGATATGGGGGAAGAGCCTTAAGAAAGTAAAGGCCATAACAAATCTTAAATGCATCTCCTGAGAGCTTAGCAGGATTATAAGGATCAGGAAGTTGCCTTTTTGCCTGTTTATTGATTGTTGCCTTACTCATCTATGCAGTTTAGCCTATATTTGAGGTCTTATGCAGGTGTTCCTACTGTTTGAAGGAAGTGTTTTGGGTCAGGTGTTGTACCTGTTATTGTTGAGTCAGTTGTTTGCAAATGCGTGAATGACAGCTGGTTTACCTAAATGCTGAAGAAGAAGAGCTCCTTGTTCAGAGTGTACAGCTCCAGGAAGGAATGAAGACTTGGCCCATGTCTTATCTCTGATGAGACAGCTTAGGAGTGACTCTGTATCTGCAGCCCTCTGTGTATTAACCATTAGAGCATAACAGTGTGCTTGTATTTCATTGGTCTAGCTTTACTAAAGTATCACTCATATGACAAAGACTCTGTCCAATACTTTCTTGAACTCCAGGCCTCCAAATCTGGAGAAATATTTTTGATGGCAAAAGTGGGTCAGAGAAAGCAAATATGCTCCCAAGTGAGCTTGCTTGTTTCTTTACTTGATGCTGCAGCTTGCTGTTCCTTCTGCATGTGCTTGTGGGCCTCTGAGAAAAGCCAGGTTAAAATCCTTTCCCACCTTTAAAAGCTATTTGTTAACCCTAGTGAACTAAGCAAAGTGTTTTAAAGTGTTGCTTTTCAACTAGGTGTGCTGCCACAACTGAGGATGTGAAAAACGAGGCATAAAAGCAGAAATTAGCATACTGATGGGAGTTCTATGGGCTGAGACTCCATACAGTAATTTTGGTCCCCAGGCCAGATTATTGTAAAGATAATTGCGTTAATAAAAGTAACCTTAGATGAGACAGAAGCCTTGACTATAGGGAGAGCTGTTAATACCACTGGCAGTAGGAGTTATTTAGCAACAGTGATTCTGTCCAGAGATAAAGTCAAGGATTCTGCATCCTCCCTTAAGCCCCATTCACATCCTGCTCCAGTGTGTTTTCCTGTGCTGAGTTTTCCATTGTGAATAATTGCAAACTCTCCTTTGCGCCTTTTCTTTTGCTCTGTGCTCTTCTGTGATGTCATCTTTTCCAAAGCACATGGTAAAGGTTGTCAGGTAAAATTAATTTTTATTTTCAGGACATCATTAAGCAGTGCTTTTCCCATTGGAGCATTCACTGTCAGCAGGATAAAGGGTACTCCAAATTGGAGTTAAGAAGAGTAACTGTTGTTTCATCAGATTACGTATTAGTTCAACCAAGCTAATGCACTGCAATATCTAGGCAAGGCCTATAATTGGAGATAGTTTGAAACAAGCTTTTAGTGAATCATGTGTTCCAGCTCTAAGTTAATTGCACGTCTAAGCTATTAAGCAAAAAACCCAACACATCAAAACACCCCAAACCAAAAACAACAAATCAGTTAAAATAGTTCATTATTCATTAAAGACATATTGAAAATCAGGTTGTTTACAAAGACTGGGCTGTATGTGTTCTCTTTCAAAAGCCTGGGACTAATTTTTTTCTCATGTTTTAAAATGTGTGTTGAATTTGAAAAGTCAAAGTCAATGCTGTCTCTTGCAGAACCAGCTTTTTAGTGCATGTGCAAATAATTTGAACACTAGTCTGAAGTACCTATGTTCTGATCTATTCCATATGTATTCAACATAGAGAAGTAAGATTTCACTTGGGGGTCTGTAATAAGGCTCGGTGCTTTCTGAGTCGTGTTAGGAAGGAAAATGGAACTTCAATGCAACTCTCTGTTGAATTCTTCCTTGCCTCTCTGAGAAGCACAGTTTAAAGGCTCAGGCGGCATTGAAAGTGAATGGAGAGGGGTGATTCAGACTCTGCCCACTTCATAGCCCTCTCTAGTTGTTTAGCCCTCCCCTATCTGTGTATAAAAGGGGAGTAAAGTGCTAGAAATCCTGCTTTTCTTCTTCACCATTTAGGATGATTTGTACCATAGGAACTACTATAAAAAAAATTAACTAGTCAAGCTAGCAAAAAATAGTACAAAAAACTATGCTGGATTTCTGCAGCTCATCATGGCTTGTAAGAGAAAATCTCTACAGTTAATCATGCAGGGCAACATTTATCCTTCTTTGCTAATGGGATCTTTCTAGGAAAATATGAATGTGACTGAAAAAGCTAGTGTGACTCGAGTAATCTGCTGAATCCATTCTCTAACACTGGTTTTATGCATTAAAGGAAAATCAGCATAATGTATCTACTTACTTGTGAGAAGGATTAGTTTCTGATGATCAGTTTAAGTTCTGAGATACAGCAGTTGGGTTTCTGGAAGTTGTATACTTGTGTTAATCTAAATGTCCAAGAAATGTTTGTTTGCTAGTTTTCTGTTTTTACACCTTGTACAGTGCTTCAAAATACACTAACAACTGCTGGTGTGGGCAGCACTGTTTATATGTGTGAATACACAGTGGGTATATTTTGACAGCTACTCAGAGGTAACCACTTTTGACCATTTGGTTATTAAATATCCCCATAGGTGAAATACTACATTTGTTCATGTTCACTGATGCAGAATTGTTTTTAAATCTGTCTGACTTAATTATTTTTATATGCTTCATTTTTGCCTTCATATTCCTTCAGGCTTCAGACTTGGTTATCACCCCAGCTACAACTTTCAAGGAAAAGCCAGACCCCAGTGGTTTGGTATTTGGAACTGTGTTCACTGATAATATGCTGACAATTGAATGGTCCTTGGCTTCAGGATGGGAGAAGCCTTATATTAAGCCACTTGAGAACCTTTCGTTGCATCCAGCCTCCTCATCTCTGCATTATGCTGTAGAAGTGAGTACTAAATTGATTTGAAAACTGCTGGTTTGTTCCATTAGCTCTTGAAGCTATTGCTTTGTAATACAAAGTCTATTACTGTCTTTTGTGGTTTGACCTGGTAGGGCAGCTAAACACCACACAGCTGTTTGTCCACTCCTCTGGCAGTGGGACGTGGGAGAGAACTGGAAAAAAGGTAAAATTCATGAGTTGAAATAAAGACAGTTGAGTAAGACAGAAAATAAAGGGAAAATATTAAGAATAATAAAAGAATATGCAAAACAAGCAATGCACAGTGCACTTGCTCATCACTCACTGACCGATGCCCAGCCAGTCCCCAGGTAGCCACCTCTGACCACCAGCCAACTCCCTGCAGTTTTATTGGTCAGCACATTCAGCATGACATCATATGGCATAGAACACAGCTGTTCCAACTGTTCCCTTTCCCATCTTCTTGTGCAACCCCAGCCTGCTCACTGGCAGGGCAGTATGAAGAAGCTGAAAGGTCCTAGACTTGGTGCAAGCACTAAGTTGTGCTTGGCAACAACTAAAACATCAGTTTGTTACCAACAGCATTCACATTCTAAATCCAGAACACAGTGTTATACCAGCTATTAGGAAGTAAATTAACTCTATCCCAGCTAAAACTGGGACACTGTCTGAAGTTTATTAGTTTATTAGTTTATTGAGTAATGTTTTGTTTTGTTAACTGATGTCCTTCAAGAATAATTCCATTATTTACAACAGGGTTATATTTATGTTGCTATAACTCAGAAGCAACTGTGGTCTCTGGATTCTAGCTCACTTAACCTTGTGAAGGTGAACCTTTTCTTGTGTGGTGACAAATTTGAGAAAGGATTCTAGTTCACTGATGGTGGATCAGTGTAGCTATTCTCATGTGATTATAACCACTGGATATAAGACCATGTGAGATTCCGAGAGTAACTTTAATTTGGGGACTCAACATGCACTTTGTGGAAGTTAATAACTTAGGACAGGCTAGACAGATGCTTGTTTGCAGCTCCAAGCAGGTCTAGAGAGCTACAAACTGAATCTGACACATTCAGCACGTACACATGTATTCAAACAGAATATTCAGCAAGGAGCTTTGGAAAGTGAAATGTTAAGTCGGAAACCAGCGTGGTTAAGTTTCCGTGCTTAGCTGCTTAATGTCTATAGCTGCCTTTTGTGTCTCCAGCTTTGGCTATACTCACATCTGTGTGAGAGCCTCAGTAGGGTGCCTATGCTGAAATAGAAGCCTGCTTCTCCTCCCTCCTCTGGGTAGGTGGGAGCATCTCCACTGAATGGAGTTGCTTGTGCTTCTTTTATTATTTCTTTTTTCTTCTTCCTTTTTTGTTTTTTCTTTTTTTTAACCACTAGTATAAGGGAAGGGCCATACTTTTCCCTCCTTGTTGTCCCTGAGGTCCTGCCTTCAAGGCTGCAGTTCTTGATCTACCCAAGAAGTAAGAAACCACGCTGGAGTTCCAAATCTATATTTCACTCTTAGTAGCATATTGCTTTAATGCTCGGCCTATGGCCCAGTCTGAAATGATTGCTAATATGAATATGCTCTTTTTTTTTCCCAATTTTTTTTTTATTCTTTTACCCTTATTGCATCACGTTTCCTCTAGCCAAGAGGACAGACAGACGAGAATCTGGTGCCAATGCTGTGGCTCAATGAATACACAGTGGGTATAGTAAAAATGATGAATTTGGCATTCCCTCCCCTTTCTCCTTGCCCTCCATGATGCAATGTGGTAGTCTGGATCTTCTGTACTCCAGATCCAGTTCCTGTGATGTACAGATGTCAGATAATTTTGTTTGCATACCACTGTAGCAACCAACCATCAAGCAACCACAGCAGTTGCTTTTATTCAAGTTGAGCATTTCTGGAACACATAACTGTCTCCCTTTTTAATGAGTGAAAGGTTTTTAACAGCTCTGGAAGGTTAAAAGAATTTCTATTTGGAGAAAAAGATTGAACAGCTCGAGAAGGCTTTGTGTTTCAGTAATGATGTGATTCTTCTCTCAAACCATTGATCAAATCTTAGTAGTAACATTCCTTCCTCTTCCCTCTCATTAAAAGTTCTGTGAATGTGTTTGGGAGAAGGGGGGGTGGGAGGGGACAACTGTTCTGTCATAAGAAAGTAGCATTACAGAAATGTGGCATTAGTTAGCAACTGGCACAATAAAAATTGTATCACAGTATCAGCCATACTACCAGCTATGCTGTCCTTCATTAAAGATAGAATTTATTTCTTGTATCTACAATGTCTATCCTAGGAACAGTTTTTTCAGAACTGAGTACAAAGCTTTTAATAAGGTTGGCATTGCCTTAGGAATAAGATAAATGTTGAAGGCAAGAAGTTCTGGGTTCTAATTCTGGTTCTGCTGCATGGCTGGCATGTAGCCTGAAGAAAACTGCTGGGATTCTTGCAATCCAGTTACAACCCAATTAAAATTTGTCATGTAGAAGGACCTAGCTCTGTCATGGAACTGCAAAAATGATCTCTAAACATCCCATTTCACTGATCCTTATGGGAAAACTGTATAGAATTTAATAATAATGAAGCCCTGAGTATTGTACAAAAACTATTAATATACAAAGAGACTGGATTCTTTTTTTGAAAAAACAACCTGCGTAAGTGGACTTCCAATGGCATAGAAAGTCTTTCCAGCCAGTTTTTTGTAACAGGACAAAAGCTCTGAGGAGTCTGATAGCACTGATGCAGTTAAATTTGTAGAACTGGTACTCTAACGTAATGTACAAATAAATGCTTTAGAAAATAAATTGTAAAAATCTTAACTCTTTTCTGAAAGCATAGGTGATCCTTTAATACTGAATCTAAATAATATCTTTATGTATTAAAAAAAAAAAAATCATCTTATATAATGCATGTGGTTTCTGTCTATAACTGGAAATTATCAACCTATAACTGCGAACAGCTATGGATATTTTATAGGCTTTCTTTTTTTTTGCTGTGGTTAGGAGATGCTGTACAGCATTCTGTTGAGAGGGCACTGGTGGGATAAGGGTTTCTGGTAAATTAATTGTCAACACCAGTCATCCAGATTCTGCAATTTGATGCAATAATTATGGCTAATTTAAGTTTACCTAAAGTTTTGATAAAACTTTTGCATGTATTATTCCTCTATTGTAAGGCTGATGCATCTGTCTTTCATGCTGGCTAAATATCCTTCCACAACATGGGAGCATAAGGAGAAAATAAGTGACCAAGTTTTCGCTACTAATAGAGCAAGAACTGCAACAGAGTTCTCTTCATAATTTTATTTTGTGTTTCCTGCCAAAATGCATTTTGGACAGAGCTCTGGAAGTGATTAATGTATATAATTAAATTCTATAGATGTTTTCCATAAGGGACAATACTCTTTTGGCTCAGTTTTGGGTATTAGTCAGGACATGATGGAATAGTTAAGTCAAACATGCTACAAATTTTAATTGCTGTAACCAAATTATGGGGAGAAAAAAAGGTTATTGGAAGTCCCCTGACAGAGGAAGATATACCTGAGGCATAGGTAGGTCATCTTTGTGATATAAACTTCATGATACTACACACAAGAGTGCGTTGCAAGGATTAACTAGTTAGCATTTATGCTTTGAGTGCTGTGAGCAGGAAAGTGAAGTTCTTTTCTTTCCAAAGGATGTGTTCTGCTTTTGCACAGATCATCATTGGGACAACAAGCCTCTATTATTATTTTATTTCCTTTCCCTCCTTTTTTGGCTTGCTAGTTGTTTGAAGGAATGAAGGCTTACCGAGGAGTGGATGGCAAAATCCGCCTGTTCCGGCCAACCCTCAACATGGACAGGATGGCACGATCAGCACGACGAGCAACTCTGCCAGTATGTAGCCAAGGCATCTTATTCTCCTGAAGTTAGAGTGTGTTTTAATTTTCAGAGTTCAAATCTCTGAAACTTCACAGTAATGTAACATTTATCAAACACACCCACTCTTGAATAGTTCAGTTAAACTTTAAGATATCATATTCAGTGAATTGTCTGAATAACTTTTTTTCTGTTAAATCACAACAGTGTTTTGCTTTGTTAGTTTCCTCCCTACTGCCTCTATTTCTAAGGGGTGAGCACTGCAGGTGTTTACATGCAAACAGCTGATTAAATTGTTTTGGCACTAATGTTCATCCTTTTCTTCTTTCCTCTTCAGTTAAGTCCTGCATCTCCAAGTGCCTTCATATTTGGTCATGCTAGCAACCTAATGCTGCTTCTAGCAGTTGTGTATTGGCCAGTGAATTTCTGTACTTATTAGCTTACTAGTAAGCACTTTGCAAGTTTGTAAAAGTGGGAGATTTGTTGGGCACCTAGAAGTTATAACCCAAAGTACTCTTCTGCAGAAGAGGTGGTGCCATAGGTTGCAGCATGCCAAAGTGAAGGCTGCAGGCTGCACAGGGAGTTTTCTGTGTGTGTGTTGGAGGCAAGAAGTGTTAATGATGCCTTTTTACAATCTCAGGAGGATACTTTGTAATGTTCAGAGTATTGTATTAAAAGGCACAGTGACAAAGACCATGGGATCTTAAATTCTGTAAGAAATTAACTTAAGGATGATGATGTCCTATGAACCTCTGCTGACTGTCACTAACATATCCTGATGAAGTCTTCCCCTTAGCGTATAGGTCTGTAAAGACCACAGTGTTCAGGCGATATTTATCCTCTTTCTTTTCTCCCTTTGCTTTTCCTTCCCAGTGTTTTGACCAGAATGAGCTGTTGGAGTGCATCCGGAAGCTTGTGGAAGTGGAAAAGGAGTGGGTCCCATACTCAACCACTGCCAGCCTGTATATCCGTCCTACCTTAATTGGAACTGAGGTGTGAAACGTTTCTCCCCCCATCCCCCCCACCCTCATTAACTTCTTTGTATTTAAGCATGAGGCAAAAGCCTCCATCCATAAAGGGAAATACACAGCAATCACTGGACAACAGTATTACAGTCCGGAGGCAAAGTCACCTGTAGCTCGACTTCACAAATTTATGTTGACCACACCACCACCTAGTGGACACACTGATTCAGATCACAGAAAGTAAACTTCGGTTAACTATTTTGAATGGTAACGGCAACATTTAGATTAACTAAAAGGATAGCTATTTGTGAGATGGTAGTGTATGTCTTTTAAATACTAATAATCGGGGGAAAAAGTGAGGAAACAAACTTTCTTTGTAGAGTATGTGATTTCATCTCACACCTCCATCCTGACCTTCAGAGATTTCTACCCAGTAAATAAGGTGGCGCTTCTGAGAGAGACTTTTAGCAGAACTAAGAAAAGTTATTGCATAAATTCTTGAACCCAAATAAATCCGATCCTATAAAAGGCTCCTTAGCAACTAGGTATCAGTGTGTATTCTGTGTGTTTCATGTGGGTGAATCAAGCTTATAGTATTTATAAAGAGAATTAGAAGCAGGGAGTTTATTTAAATTAAAACTCTGAGGCAAGAGAGAAACGTAAAAGGTAGAGCATAGGGCAAAGAAGCCAAAGAGTGTATGGTTCCCAACTAGGCAAGTTACACTTCAATATCCACATCTGTAAGTAGTTACCATACATGAGTGTGATACATTTCACAGGTGCTCTAGAACACTGTTAATTTAATGCTTGTAAAGTAGTTGCAGATTTTCAGATGGAACAATCTCTACTCAATGAAGTATTAATATTAAAAATGGAGTTTTCTTCCTGTTTCAGGCTAGCCAACGTATATGTCCTTTCTGTGATGTTGTATGTTGTCTCCATGTTGCAAGTTCTGATAATCTTTTGTGAATCAGCAGAATTTAGAAACTAAATCAGCACAATCTATTGAATGATTGTATAAGAATCAGAAAAAATATCAAGATCTCAGTTTATCTTTCTCTTCTTAGAAGTTTTGCTGAAGGAGTAAGGTAGACAGAAATCAAAAGAACTCGGTGCCTGAGGAAGGCCTATTTTCTCTCTCACTTCCCAGTTTAGCTTGACCTGTTTTGTGCACAGGACCTTTGATCCTAAAAATTTAAGTTAAATAACTTTTTTTTCAATGAAGACCTAATCTTAGAAACCAAAGATCAGCATGTTCTTTTTACATGACTCGTTTCTCTGAGTGGAGATAAAATACTAACACACTCAGATGCTCAGAAGATCCTAAGAATTGCATGCAATCAGTTGTATGAAGCACTGCTTGGGCAAGGGATTTAGACAAAGTGACCTTTACAGGTGCTTCCTGACATCAGTCATTCTGTGATTCTGTCAGTCCTAAGCTTTTCAAGGAGTTGTTTAATTAAGCAGTCTTCTACCACCATTCCAACTTTGACCAGTGCCAGACTTTTCATCTCCACCATTAAGTATAGAAGGTGGTGACTTGAAGTATGACGGGCTGTCTCGCAGACTGGAAGGGGGAAGAAAAGTGATACATACCAGGTTATTTTCTGTGCTTTGGTGTGAACCATTTCTAGGAGGCAGATAATTTTATCTTGTCACAGTCATTCACAGAGCCAGCACTCAGCTCTACCAATGTCATTCTAAGAGGCATTGGCTAATTCTCATCACTAATGTGGCTAAGTGGTTCCTCCGTTGTTGTTGTTGTTAGCAGTGGCCCTCGCCACTCCTTTCCCTAGAAGGCTTTTGCAGGCTTCTACTGTGATTAATATAATTATATAGCATCTTATTAAGCTAATATCTGAGTTCTTAAAAGCTTGAAATAATTTGAGAAGATTAGGTATGTCTATGTTTAACTACATATAGATATATATATACAGAATGCATAGATAAATGAAACAGCTGTAAGTTAATGGTAACAGTGTGTAAAATTAGGGCTGTTGATGTTGTTTGGATGGGGAGGAAGTTATATAAATATTTTCTCCTCATTGCAGCACTTTATATTGTCCTAGCAAAAGGACTCTTGTGCTGTGAGTCCTCTGAAAGTAGTGTTTCAGAAGCTAATTGTGCAGCATCTCATGTTTGAAGTGAAATACACAAGTAACTTCTGATTTGTTTACATTTTCAGCCCTCTCTTGGAGTGAAGAAGCCAACTAAAGCCCTACTGTATGTCATACTGAGCCCTGTGGGCCCTTACTTTGCAAGTGGAAGCTTTAATCCAATATCCTTATGGGCAGATCCAAAATATGTAAGAGCCTGGAAAGGAGGAACGGGGGACTGCAAACTTGGAGGGTAAGAAAACAAAATTCTGCATCTTCTACATAGTTTACAAAGGAACTTTGTTTTTTAGTGAAGTATATAATGCAGCAAAAGTAGAAGTATTCAATGTAGCAGTTAAACAATGAGTATATACATATCTATAACAGATATCTATAACAAATATTTCAAAATTGTACTTTGCAAGTATTATTTATACAATTCAGTGGCATTTTTTTTGGATATTACATCCAAGTGGACTATCTGCAGGAGCAGTTTCACAGCATCTCAAGCTGAGGAGCTGTACCTGGAAGGTGTCCATGTAGTACTTTGGCTGTTCCCCTTGCAGAAGATGAGGCTAAATGTATCACTTCTGTGATGCAGCATTCATTATAGGAGCCTGCTGCCAACTGGGCAGTAAGCAGCATTGACTACTGACCTCCACCCTTGGCAGAGAGTCCTGACAAGCCATCTGCAGTTATGTAGGTGGTATGGGTGTTAAAGGGAAAGCAGGAGACAGTTATCTGCCTTGGCTAGACAATAGTCTGACAGTTTTCTGCTGAACTAGGCCAAAGCACCAGTTAGGTAGAAAGGTGATTTTTAACGTTTGAATACTTAACTTGTCGAGTGAAGCTGCTTAGGACTTGACTGGAGCAAGCATCTTGGAAGTAGTTAAATAAATTACTTGATTGTGCATCCTTGGCTTTGGTTTAAACAAAGGTTATTGTCTCTAGCTATGATTTTCTTTTCTAGGCAGGAAGTTAGCAGTTGTTAAGTAAGGGCTGCTCCACTGAGCTAGTAGAATAATCAAAAGGCAAGAAATTACTGAGAACTACTCTTTCTTTGTGAATTTTTTGCTTAGTTATAGAAGTATATTAATTGTTTCCTGTGCATCCTTCATACATCAGCTGTGAAAAAAAAGGAATAGTCTAGAGTCACTACTGCTTTGGTTTGTGCCTAGAGGTGGAAACTTAACTCCTGTGTGGTCAGCACCTTAGGGCTGCTGACTTTGGGTCTTGATAATTGTTGAATATCAAGAAGAGAAAAGGGCTTTTCCCCTCCTCAAAGCCAAGTAAACATACTATTCAGCCAGGTTCACTGTATAGGCAATATTTTAGGAAAACCTTTCCTCCTCAAGGATATGGAATTCATTGACTCCAATTTGCAGCTCTTGAAGCTGTTAATTGTGCAAGTATCTTTTACTAAGAAGAAATAACTCTCTTCTGGTGATTTTTGTGTTTCAAGAGGTTCATCTAACATATCAGCCATCTCTTAACCTGAAATATATGAGATGAGGTAGATGATTTTATCGTTTTGTTTTTTTAAAACCATGAACTGTATGGGAATTGCTGCAGTCTCTTCAGAATGCCATATGCTAAATGAATAGAAATGCTTTCCTAAGGTGTCTAACTGCAATGATTAGGATGTTCAGAAAATTGAAAAAAAGGTATTTTAAACACAATTTGGATGGATATGTTTGAACTGTTAATGCTGTTCAGCCTTTCAAAGTTTTTACTGTAGATACAAATGACCTAGTAAAATACTAGCAGAGTACTTCCAATGAAATATTTCAGGGACAAGCAGTGACTGTGCAGAGCACTTACTGATAAGGTAAAAGCATACACATCCTTGCATAGAAATGATAAAATATTCAACCAGATATTTATAACTCTTTGCTCTTCCTTTTCTTTTTTTTTTTTCTGGAAGGAATTATGGTTCTTCTATTTATGCCCAACAAGAAGCCCTGGAGTTTGGCTGCCAGCAGGTTTTGTGGCTCTATGGAGAAGATCACCAAATAACCGAAGTTGGAACAATGAATCTGTTTCTCTACTGGATAAATGAAGATGGAGGTATAGTAACACAAAATATGTAAACTTTAATATTAGAGTAGACAGTTGGGATTATAATCCATAAAATTATTAGAGTGCATATCATAAACTCTTAAATGAAGTTGATTTAACAAAGGAAATACATACTCTCTTCTTAAAACTGAGAGATGACTTAGTTATACCATTGTGAAAGAGGAGTTTTTGGGGGAGCTGTGACTCTTGCCTGCTGATAGCATACTAAATTTTTGGGCTAGTCCATGGGCTCCAAGGGTAGAATCTAGCCATATACAAGGTCACACTGCAGGTTTGCTGTCAATGTTAACAGTGTGCTTGATCTTGAAGGAGTTGTTGAGTTAGAAACCACACAGTCATACTAAATACAACTTATGGCTGTGTAGCTCTTCAAACTTTGTGGTTTTGGACATGAGTAGTTCCCATCTTCACTTTCTGGAGAGTCAAATGTTCCTGAAACATAGGCAAAAGAGTTTCAGCATCCAGCTGATGAAGAACTCAGCTCTTTCTTTGAGGAATTTGAAGTCCTGTCCAGAGAGAGAGGAACATGTCAGTCAGTGTTCCAAATGCTCAAATGATGCTTTCAAGATATACTGTCTTTCCTTAAGCCATTGTACCTCTTTGTACCCAGAGTCATCTCTGAATAATGTAAAAGCTGATTAAAGAGCTATTTATATAATGAGCAGCCAACTATTTAGTAATCTCAAAAACACCCATCAGGCATGCAAGTATTCCGTGCTTGAGAAGTGGTAGTTGCACCTGAGAACTGGTTTGGAAGGCAACATAACTAAGCCAATGCATAAAGGAGGATTGAGCCAATGCATAGGAAAGTGAATAAAAAGACACCTCCTGACTTTCATGAGTGCTGGCCCTCCACGAATATGAAATGTTACTGAAGTTTTGCATGGCAGCAGATGCAGGGTTCAGATGCAGATTTTGTCATAGTACCATGGATACCCCAGAAAATTGTAATTTTTCTGACAGTGCTCAGCTGCAATACAGAGGCAGCATTCTGTGGGGACAGCAGTGTGCTTTGGATAGTGCAGAGTAATGGGAATCCAGCTACCTGACTCCCATCTCCAGTTTCATTACTTGTTCTTCTGCAAAATCTTTACCAATTGGTAAGAAGAATAATGATGCTCCCTCAGTGCTGAATCTGTGAAGCTTTGTGAATTAACCTATAAATATGAAAAATCTTGTTGTCAGTGTTAGAGTAGTGGTAGATTTGTCAGTGTAGCTAGAGGGCCAAATTCAAGCCTTGTGTAACTTCACTGGAGAGACACAAAAATAGATTTTGGCTCATTCTGCCCAGGGAAAGGACACTGAAGGGAGGACATAATTAGAATTCAATGTTCTCATTGTACTTAAACCAGGAATATGCTGGAATTATCCAGCTGCAGCACTGCACTGTTCCAAAGATCTGCCAATCACTGTGTTACCAGTGCACTACTGAATAGTACTATTGTGAGGTGGCCATAGCAAACAACTTGTAATTCATGCCACCCAAGCTAACTGTACACAGGCAAACCTGCAGTTTCACATGACATGGTCATTAGCATCATTGGGGCCACTTTGCTGTCTTCCATTGAAGTGCATTAAAAAATTAATGCTTAATTTATGAGATCTTTGGCTGAGAATCACTCTTGCTGCTAATGTGTGTCATCCCATACCTGCCTATGGCTTTACATTGTGGTTTGAAAAGTGTTATGTTCTGTCACTTCACAACAGATTCTTACTTTGACTGTGGTTCTGCTTTGTTATGCAAATTTTGCAGCTGAGAGAGTGATTTAATATAAAAATAGAAACTGCAAATCATGATCAAAAGGAAAATGCCCTGATTTGTGTGTTAGGAGGTCAATGCAGAGTAGTCTGAACTCCTCCCCTTGGCATGTAACAGATCAGACTCAGCCTGGTAAAGCCTAGACTAAAGGACATCTATGCTTCCAATGAGAGTAGTCTTTCCTTGCAAGCCTTTGCTGTATCTTTTCTAGCTAAAGCATTGTGACTAAACATGACACATTGTCTTGGGCAGCAGGAGGAGCCTGGTAAAATCTTCCATTTATAACATTGAGGAAGGAGTGAGCTAACTACTCAATCTTTTGTAAAATAACAGGATGTATTCTCTGCTGCTCTTCTATGCCTGCAGATGCTCTGGCTGAGGCTTGTAACATGACCAATCTGGATCCCTGCTGTTGCATAAATGCAGGACTGTGATATTTCATTAATCAAATACAGGTTATGTTCACAAAGTGAAAATTTTGGTCACCCAGCATCCCCTTCCACCTGCCTCTTGAGAGCATGTAAGAATCTCTGGAGGCTGTCAACACTGAAACTAATTTCCTTTGACAGTTTCTGTTCTTCTGTCTAGAATGTAAGCTCGACTTTATGGAAAACCTTAAAATATAAACATACATGCATCCTAAATATTGCTAACTATGAAATTTGTGTGTACTTCCCAAGAATTCAGTTTCTTGAGGATAGTTTGGAACCATCTGGCCTTTACTTCTAGCTTTAATGTTAAGGTATTGTGAATAGCATTGAAGCATTGCTTAACATTTTTATGCTGTTATTAAAATGGGGATTAATACTGCCCACTTAAAAATAGCTTACATACATAAAAAATGAAATATCTTAGAGGATTCTTTGGAACAGTCAGGTAAAATACCAGGCAAGTTTGCATAGTGTTCTGTAGGCAGATCATTATTTGTGCAGCAGAAGTAACTTGAACAAGTAGACTATTAACAAAATAAGGATTGTACATTCTGCTCTAATAGAAAGCCACAGCAACAGCATGGAAGGGAGAGCAGCAGCAGAATGAGATGGCAGATGAAGAAGGTGAAGTAATTGAGGAAAGTAAATTGACAAAGAGGTGAAGACAGGGTGATGGAGAGAAAGAATAGAAAAAAAAAAACCCTGAGGGAAGTAAGAAGAAAGAAATAGAAAGGTCCAGAACAAAATGGAAGCAGAAGTCAGCTACCAATAATAGTGAAATCAGGGTTTCCTGGACTGATAGTGCTACTACTATAACAGTAACAGTAGTCAACTGA